AGGTTGCTCCAACCTGGCCTTGGACACTTCCAGGGATCCAGGGGCAGCCACAGCTTCTCTGGGCAACCTGTGCCAGGGCCTCCCCACCCTCCCAGACAGGAATTCCTTCCCAATATCCCATCTATCCCTGCCCTCTGGCAGTGGGAAGCCATTCCTCCTTGTCCCCAGTCCCTCTCCAGCTCTCCTGGAGCCCCTTTAGGCCCTGCCAGGGGCTCTCAGCTCTCCCTGGAGCCTTCTCTTCTCCAGGGGAACCCCCCCAGCTCTCCCAGCCTGGCTCCAGAGCAGAGGGGCTCCAGCCCTGGGAGCATCTCCGGGGCCTCCTCTGGACTCTCTCCAGCAGCTCCACGTCCTCCTGCTGCTGTTCCTAGGGCTGGGGCAGCTCTGAGTGGGGCAGAGGGGCAGAATCCCCCCTACCCTGCTGCCCTGCCGTGGGGTCAGCCCAGGGCACGTGGCCAGGGCATGTCCAGCCTGTCCCCCCACAGCTGCTGGCTCTGTTCCCAGTGCAGTTCAGCTCAGCCCACACTGGGGGATGCCTGAGCTCAGCTGGGACCTCTGTGCAAACTCCCATGTCCATCCCCTTCCTCCCCTGCGGGATGGGGCCCGTCCAGTGGCTCATCCCTGCCTGCTGCTCCCGTTGCAGGGGAACGTCGTGGTGCTGGTCCACAGCAGTGAGGACTCGGAGGACGAGGAGAACGAACTGGTTGTGAACTCCCTGTGCCATCACAGCGACCTGATCCTGTGGGCAGAGGGGCTGGCCACTGGCTTCTGCAAGGATGTGCATGGGCAGGTGAGGCACGGGAGGGCACCCGGGGTGGCACTGTCCCTGTCACCTGCAGCACTGCCTGGGGGAGACAGCCTGGGGAAGGACTGATCCCGGGCACCAGGATCTGCTGCAACACCCGGGCTCCTATGGCTATGACTCCACTTCTGTGGGGATATCTGGGGACATCCTGCCCCACCTGGGGACTCCCCCACCTCTGGAAGCTTTCCAGGGTTTATACAGCAGCTGCAGCACCGGTTTCTCCCACCCCAAGGTGATGGCAGAGAAAAATACCAATTTCCTGGGAAGTTTCCCCAGGGGTGGATCTGAGCCTGGCCAGTGGTGATCTCCTCGGGGCTGGGACAGCTTTGGAGTCTGATCCCTCATCGGGGTCTGCCACTGAAGGGACAGGGACAGGC